CAACTCTGGTATTACAAAAAAAGTTGTCCTAAATTTATTGCACTTATATCATTGCCACAATGTTCTCTAAAATTGTTGAATCATTTAGCCTTTATCCTGAGACCTTTTCTGAAGTGGATAAAAATTATTCCATTTTCCTTAAGTCTGTTTATCTTAGTACCTGTAAGAACATTTTAGGGAATTTTTTTTTCTATAATATGTGTACGAATATATTTTAAACCCATCAACTGACATGGAAATTTTCAACTAATTTTCACAGACATAAAAATATTTTGTATCTACTTCAAAATATTACACATCTACTTTCAGATCTTAGAAAATATCATACCAACAAAAGAATATATAAAATGTAAGTGTACCATTGAAAGAAATAATAAAATAAACTTCTGTGTACTCTATAAGTAAGTTAGGAAATAGATTGTTATCTATCTTAGAAACACCCTCTTCTAGTGGAAACTATAAACCTGACTCTGGTGAACATTTTGAAAATTTTACATCTGCCATCTATATGTGATTCTTTCAAAATTTTATTGTTTAGTCTTTTGAATAGTGTACAAATACAAACAGATTTGCTATTTATGCTCAATATTCTTTGGTGATGGAATCATGTATTTTCTCTCTCTTTTTTTTAAAGCTCTCTATATACTGTTTTATTGTTTACTACACTATGCCATTCTATGGATGGACATCTGGCTGTGTAAAGTGTTTTATGTAATGCTGCTATGAACATTCTTGTATATGTCATTTGTTGTATAAGAGTAATAGTATAAATGAGGTATAAACTATAAACATTTTCCCCTACCAGATAATCTCAGAGCTTCCTAAAAAATTTATACTTCAACAAAGATTATACTTTAACTGTTAACAGGGCATTTTAGTCACCACTGCTCCATGTCTATTTTCTTTGAGTCTATTTATCTGACTGACCTACAACGAATATTCTAGGGAATTTAAGTCTTTTTTTCTATAATATGTCTTGCAAATACGTTTTAAGCCCATCAGTTGACTTGGGGATGTTCAACTAATTTACACAGACATAAAAATATATCTCTCTCCACACCTTTTCAACACAATACTGAAAGTTCCTAACTAAAGGAATAAGACCAGAAAAGGAAATAATACAGAGACCAGAGATAGACCCAACCAAGGTAGTCCAGTGATATTTGACAAGGAAACAAATGTAGTACAATGGATAGTCTTTTAAGAAATGATGCTGGAGGCAATTGGACATCCACATGCAAAAAAAGAACATAAGTACAGGACTTACTCCCATCACAAAATTTAACTAAAAATAAATCATAGATCTAAATGTGAAATGCAAAACTATAAAACTCCTGGAAGATAACCTAGAAAAAAACCTAGATGATCTTGGACATGGCAATGAGTATTTGTACACAACACCAAAGGCACAAAATAGAAATAATGAATATGTCAGACTTCATTAAAATTAAAAACTTCTGCTCTGTAAAAGACAATTTCAAGAGAATGAAACAATAAGACACTGATTGGGAGAACATACCTGATAATGAATGTTATCTAAAATATTTTATAGGAGCCCTTGCGTGGCTCAGTTGGTTAAGCATCCAACTCTTGATTACAACTCAGGTCATGATCTCAGGGTTGTGAGCTTGAGCCCTGAGTCTGGCTCCACACTGGGCATGGAGATTGAGCTTCCTTAAGATCCCCTTTCTCCCTCTCTCTCTGATCCCTCTCAAAATATTTATGTATATATTAAACTCTTAGAAAGCCATAAGGAGACATACAACACAATTAAAAAGGAAGCGAAGCAGAAACCTCAACAAAGAAGATACACAGTTGGCAAACAAATATGTAAAAAGATGCTCCATATCATGTGTCATGAGGTGAATGCAAGTTAAAATAATGATACAGCACTACACATCTGTTAGAGTGGCCAAAATGCAGAATAGTGACAAATACCAAAAGCTGGCCAGTTGTGGAACAGGAATTCTCATTTATTGCTAGTGGGAATGCAAAATGCTATAGCCACTTTGGAAGACATTTTGATGGTTTCTTACAAAAGTGAGCATACTCTTACCATACTATCATACTCCTTAGCATGTACCCAAATAAGCTGAAAACTTTTGTCTGTACAAAAATGAGGCATGGATATTTATAGCAGCTTTATTCATATTTGCCCAAACATGGAAGCAATCAAGCTGTTCTCCAGTAGGTGAATGGATAAATGGTAGATCTAGATAATTAAATGTTATTCAATACTAAAAAGAAATGAGCTATCACACCAGAAAAAGACATTGAGAATCCTAAAATGCATATTACTAGGTCAAAGAATGCCTCCTTAAAGGATAAATACTGTAGAAGTCCAACTATATGACATTGTGGGAAAGGCAAAACTAAGGAGACAATACACCATCAGTGTTTTCTAGGAGTGGGGGCGGGGTTTGGGGTGGGGAGGAAGAGGGATAAAAAGGCAGAACACAGAGGACTTTTAGGGCAAGCATAAATACTCTGTTACCAGAATGATGGATAGTCAGATAGATATCATCCTACCTGTGTCTAGACTCACAGAACGAACAATATCAAGAGTGAACTATAATCTAAACTACAGACTTTATGATTAGAATGTGCCAGTGTAAGTTCATTTCTTACACCTGAAGTACTACTATGTTTGCGGATATTACTAACAGAGAGTCTATGCATGTGTGAAGGTGAGGACCTATGAAAAAGTTCCGCCTTGGGGCACCTGGGTAGCCCAGTGGTTGAGCCTCTGCCTTTGTCTCAGGTCATGATCTCGGGATCCTGGGATTCAGGCCCGCATCAGACTCCCCGCGCGGAGCCTGCTTCTCCCTCTGCCTGTGTCTCTGCCTCTCTCCTTGAGTCCCTATGAATAAATAAATATTTATTCTTATTTATTTATTTATTCTCATTGTCTCATTTTTACTGTGATCCAGAAACTGCTCTAAATAAGTAAAGTATTACTTTTTTAAACAGTGATTCAGATATCTTTTTCTTCACATGTCTTCAAAGAGAAATTAATAATCTTAGCCTAGAAAAGCTGTCTCTAGATATCAACCCAGCTAATATGACTTACCTCTGAGAGACTGGTAACTGTCCACTGAAATTCCCTCCTATCTATCTTGCTTATAGTAAGGCATTTTGCTATAAATTCAGGCTCTTTGAAATTAAAAGCCACCTTAGTAGACTCATCATGTAGGTTTATAACACTCTATTCAAACATTAGCAGTATTTACATAGTAACTCCAATTTAATAGCTCATTTATGTAATTCTGCACTGTGTTCCTAACTCAGTGTGTGTGAATCATATAATTATAGGAAGAAGTTTGATTGGTAAATTTTAATTCTATATTTTTGTTTTGTAATTCCTCAATATATCATTTAAAATGTGTTATGAAATTATATGCCAATATTTGCATGCTTAATTTTATTCTCTTTACTTTTGTTTGATTCTATATTTGTAACTGTGCACCACTGCTTCAAATATAGAATTTTAGCAAATATTTAAGTTAGGTACTTCTCAAAATGTGGCCTATAAATTATATGCAATAATTTCCCTAAGGAGGCAATAATCAAGACAGGACATCACATGCGGTACAAGACCTCTAATGTACATAAGTATTTTGACGTGGAATCTGTGAAGTGATGTGTTTATCCAAACTCTGATGATTTCAAGTTGAGTGTCCTTCAGAAATTCTTCTTCATTATCAAATTAAGGCATTTGACCATATAACATCAGACATAAATTCAAACATTACAAAGTAATGACTAAAAAGAGGCTCTCCTGTCTGTGTTATATATGATCACCAATTTTGGTTATAATCTTTAGGAAAGGAAATTCTCATAAGAATTTTTATTTGGTTAGGTGGAAAACATGTTTTTTGTTTGTTTGTTTGTTTCTAAATACGGTTGATTTGGTCACTTGCAAATAATCATTCCTCCTCTCTACAGATCTTCTAAAATTCATACTTAGAATCTCCCTTTCAAAAAACATCTTTTAAAGGTAACACCAAAATAATTGTGTTATGTTGATGATATGTACATGTGTATTTCACATTCCAAAGGGGTTTGTATTGGTTATGAATTATTTAGAGAATTCCTACTAATGAAATATTGGCAAATCAATTGTGGTGAAAAGTGATGGGATTTGATTCAGGAGGATAAACAAATGCTGATGGGATTTTTAAAATATTTTATTTATTTATGAGAGACACAGAAAGAGAGAGAGAGAGAGAGAGAGAGAGAGAGAGGGAGAGGGAGAGAGAGAAGCAGAGACACAGGCAGAGGGAGAAGCAGGCTCCATGCAGGGAGCCTGATGTGGGACTCGATCCTGGGTCTCCAGGATCAGGACCTGGGTTGAAGGTGACGCTAAACCGCTGAGCCACCCGGGCTGCTCCTGGGATTCTTTATCATTATGAGTAAAGCAGACAGGCTGGAAGTTCATTATGAGTGAACTATAACAGACTGGAAGGTAGAGATACAACACTAATTGGGAGTTAAAGATCCATTGAGAGGGAATTTGTGTTGATACAATGGGGCTAATCTATCAGCTGCCATTTAACTGGAGAGAAGCAAGAAGTATTAAATTTATCATACATGGAGTTGTGGTTAAATTTTTTATTGAATTTGTTTTTGTGAAAGTACACTTGCACATTACTTTCCTTACCCAAATATCCTTTGACCCACCTTCCTTCACATCTCTCATCCTTCTCTTTCTTACCTTCTCTTTCCTCCCTCCCGCTCTCCCTCTATTCTTCTCTGTCTCTCTTCCTTCCTCCCTCTCTCTACCTCTTTCCCTCTCTTTTCCTGTCTTCCTTCCTTTTCTTTCTCTTTCCCTCCTTATCATTTTAATTTTCCCTTCCTTTTAACATCTCGATGTGATAAATAATCTAGGAGACATAGATTTATCTTTTTCCTTAATAACTTGTCAGTAAATTAGTGTAGATTGTATTCCAACAAACATAAATACGGATAACCTTCACTCGACTTTTTTTTTTTCCCTCCAGGAAGACCCACTACATTATGTGAGATTATGGGGAAAGCAGAAATTTGGCTAATCCGGACATATTGGGATTTTGAATTTCCTCGCCCATACTTACCTAATTTTGAGTTTGTAGGAGGGTTGCACTGCAAACCTGCCAAACCATTACCTAAGGTAGGTCTATTACATTGGAGGATTTCTTTCGTATCTTATGATATATAATGCTGAGTTTTCTTTAAAGCATACTTCCTTGATAACAGACATATGCTGTTTTCTGTGCCAAGTCTATTTTGTAAGTCATAAAGTTCTCTCATGACTGATAATTACCTTTTTGGACTTCACTTTGATATTTTGGCTGAAGAAAAGCAATTCAAGGGGCAAGATAAGATATCAGTGTGTCTACAGTTTGGGTACTGAATTGAAGTAACAGGAAGCTAGGGACTTGAAAATCCCCCAGAAGATTGCAATAGTCTTCCTAACACACATGATGGAGTTACGAATTGGGACTGTTAATGACTGGTAGAGTCATAATGATTTCATGAGAACTCTCAGGTAGATTCCAGAATTTTGTAAGTAGGAAGAAAATGTTGACAGAAGACGTGGACTCAGGTAGCACTTACTGGATAAAAGCGATCATTACCAAGATAAAAAAGAACTCATGGAAAAAACGTTTTTTGCGATAATAATGATGAATTTATTTTGGACCTATTAACTTTAAAGAACCAAAAGAGTATTCAGGTGGATACTTAGAGGAATCATTTGAATAATATAAGGTCTAGGTTTTAGTAGAGAGCATCAGAAACAGATTAGGAGTCATCAAAATAAAGAAGTCCTAGAACTAAGAGACCTAAACACTGAATTCATTCTTTTTTTAATATTTATTTGTTCATGGGAAACCCACAGAGAGAGGCAGAGACAGGCAGAGAAAGAAGCAGGCTCCCTACAGGGAACCCGATGCAGGACTCAATCCCAGGGCCACATGATCACCTGAGCCAAAGGTAAATTCTCAACCAATGAGACACACAGGTGCCCCCAAACTGAATTCATTCTTTAAGACCATGATGTCAGTTTTTTCTGAAATGAAAGGAAAATTGTATACCACAATCTAAATAAATAAATAAATGTGGACAGTCAAAAATGCTGGAAGAAGACAATATGAGAAGTAATAGAGAATAATAGATAAGCATGATAAAAATATTGTATTTAGCTATCTTTATCAATAACTACCTTTATCAAGGAATTGAGGAGGTAGAGACTCATTTGCCTAGGATGTAGGTGAGTGAACATAATCTCTGTAGAAGACTGAGTTGAATAGTATTAGCAGGAGAGTTCTTGATTTCTGTTTCGGGTAAGATATACATTTAAGTTTAAATTTTTTTTAGGATTTTGAATATGCTTTCTTACCAGTCAAGTTATAGCTACATGTAAGCTCAATTGAGTATTATTATAGCAGATAGCAAACCAATATGAAGAGAAAGTATGGAAAGAGACAGGACATATTCCTTGGCTCACAAGATATATTATATTTATATTATTACATATTATATTTATAATATATTATATTATATACACACTATTATATTCATCATGCCATCCTTACTTTTCATACACACAATTTCAAAAAAAACTCAGACATGTTTTACAAGTGAGGGGATTATTCCATTTCAAACCCATTAATACAAACATTTGGGCAATATGAACACCATCATACCTTCTATCTCTGATGAAAAAATTGTGCCAGGGACTGCATACACAGAAAGAAAGCAATGGGGATCCGTGGGGGCTCAGTGGCTTGGTGCCTGCCTTCAGCCCAGGGAGTGATCCTGGAGTCCCGGGATCAAGTTCCATGTCAGGCTCCCTGCATGGAGCCCGCTTCTCCCTCCGCCTGTGTCTCTGCCTCTCTCTCTGTGTGTGTCTCTCATGAATAAATAAATAAAATCTTTAAAAATAAATAAATAAATAAATAAATAAATAAATAAATAAATAATAAACTGTATTGCTATATGTGTCAATTCTAAAAAAAATCATTTTTAGTCCAATTCATCAGGCAAAGAATAAACATCAGAAAAATATCCTGAAGGCCTAACAGAGAGTTGGATTGATTTATTAATAATCTAATGCATGTAAACTGACCTGCACATTTTAAAAGTCTAGTTAGGACCCTTTTTTGGGTTTCCTTACATGGAATATTTTTGAGTTTGCAAATATCCCTGCTGGTTCATAAAATAAGCCTTGAATATAAGAGTTCAATGAGCCATGGGAAGAGATGTCTCTTATTGCCTATTCACTTTGTATAATGGTTCAGTTTTATGCCTTTATTTGTAATCACTCATTAGATATTTAAGTCATAGTTTTCAGAAACCTATTTCCTCTTAAAGATGCTAGATGGTTCTTTGTGGCAAAAAGTAGAACCAGTCTAACATCTCAGATACTTCTCATGACTGTCTATTTTAGAAGTATAAGTGAAATCTGTTTTCCCTGTGATCCTGCACATTTGTAATAAAGATAATTTTATCACTGTAGGAAATGGAAGAATTTGTCCAAAGTTCAGGTGAAGATGGTGTTGTGGTGTTTTCTCTGGGGTCAATGGTCAAAAATCTCACAGATGAAAAGGCCAATCTCATTGCCTCGGCTCTTGCCCAGATTCCACAGAAGGTCAGTACAACTTTGGGGCCTGGTGGATAGCCACTCTGCCAATTGGAGAGAAAGTGTGATGAATAGGACTCTTTCTAGATAAACTCTGAAACACTGAGTGTAACTGATACCACCTTCAGGTAAAAATTTCTTAAAACATTAAATAGTATATTGGGGCACATTTAATCATTTTCTGAGTAAGTCTCTGAATTACTATGGAAATACATCTGTTCGTATAATCATTTATTTTCAGTGAAATAGAGATGACAATGTTAAGATCCCAAAAATCTTTTACTATGTGAAATCTTATGACCTGCACTGACTATTCCCCCAAAGTGTCAAGTATGTTAGTGCCAAGGTCCAGGAAAAGAGAGATAGTGTACGTAGAATAGACAGGAATTATGCTCGAGGATATACTTTATGTTTCGAGGTTTCATTGAGACTATATCAATATCTAGTTGGTTTAAAAGTGGAAGCCTAATCTTTCTAACTTGAAATTTCTACAGTTAAAAACAGTTAAAAATCCTAATGTTATTATCAAACAATATATATTTTCTGATTTATTATATTCAATTAACTTGAAGTTTGTTGTCATTATACTTCTAGATTTCTACTCTTTATAGATTCCTCTTTATGAAATACCCTAGGACTTTTTATGTTTGTATATTAGTTAAAATATATAAACCTCCATAATGGTAAGCATTACTAATTAGGGCTGTTAGGTCTTTGCTATTTATTTCTGCACTTTTTGCCACCCAAGGATGTGGAGAAAAAGGCACTCTTTTGCATGGCTGGCAGGAATGCAAACTGGTGCAGTCACTCTGGAAAACAGTATAGAGGTTCCTCAAAAAAGTTAAAAATAGAACTATGCTATGATCCAATAATCATGCTACCGGGTATTTACCAAAAGAATGCAAAAAGACTAATTCAAAGGGGTACATACCCCGGTGTTTATAGCAGCTTTACAATAGCCAAATTATGGAAGCAACCCAAGTGTCCATGGACAGATGAATGGATAAAGACATGGTATTAAGTGATGAATCACTCAGTTATACTCCTGCAACCAACATCACACTGTATGTTAACTAAATGTAAATAAAAATTGGAAAAAAAAAAGATGTGTTATACATATACAATGGAATATTTTTTTCAGCCATACAAAAAAATGAAATCTGGCCCTTCGTAAAGACATGGAAGGAGCTAGAGAATATAATGCTAAGCAAAATAAGTCAAAGAAAGACAAATACCACATGATTTCACTTGTATGTGGAATTTAAGAAACAAAACCAATGAATATGGGGAAAAGGAGGGAGAGACAGAGAAAGCAAGAAACAATCTCTTCTTTTTAAAGATTGTATTTATTTATTCATGAGAGACACACAGAAAGAGAGGCAGAGACACAGGCAGAGGGAGAAACAGGCTCCTTGCAGGGAACCCAACGTGGGACTTGATCTCAGATCTCCTGGATCACGCCCTGGACAGAAGGCGACGCTAAACCACTGAGCCACCCGGCTGCCCTGAACTCTTTTTTTTTTTTTATGACAGTCACACAGATAGAGAGAGGGGCAGAGACACAGGCAGAGGGAGAAGCAGGCTCCATGCACCGGGAGCCCGACGTGGGATTCGATCCCGGGTCTCCAGGATCACGCCCTGGGCCAAAGGCAGGCGCCAAACTGCTGCGCCACCCAGGGATCCCCCTGAACTCTTAATGAAAGAGAACAAACTGATGGTTACTAGAGGAAAGGTGGGTGGGTGGATGAGTTCAATAGGCAGTGGGGATTAAGGCTTGCACTTGTCATTATGACTGCTGGATGAAGTCTTGAATTGTTGAATAAACTAAAAACTTGAAAAAAAAAAAAAAGTTCACTACCAGAGATTCCTGGGTGGCCCAGAGGTTTAGCGCCACCTTCAGCCCAGGGCGTGATCCTGGAGTCCACGGATCGAGTCCCATGTCGGGCTCCCTGCATGGAGCCTGCTTCTCCCTCTGGCTCTCTCTCTCTCTCTCTCTCTCTTTCTCATAAATAATAATAAAAAATAAATAAAAATGAATTCCTTTATAATATTTAATCTGAACTTAGTTTTTACAGAGCTCCTCATCCTGCAAAAGTATGTGACAAAAGGTCAACATCCTAACAAGATATTTCATTAAATAGTGAAATAAAGCAAACCTCCAGCTCTTCCTCCCTCAAACACTACAGAAGGGGAGAGAGAGAGACAGAGAGAGAGAGAGAAAGGAAGGAATGAAAGAATGAAGGAAGGGAGGAAGGAAGGAAGGAAGGAAGGAAGGAAGGAAGGATGGAAGAAAGGAAGGAAAGAGAGGGATGGAAGGAAGACGAGAGGGAAGCAGGAAAGAAGCATACAATCATTCAACAAGAATACAATAAATACTTAAAGCTAAGTATGTTTTTGGAAAACATTATGTTTGAAACATGAGACTTAAGATGACCTTGTGACATTAATAAATTACCAGTTTTCATGTTTATTTCAATGCTATTTAAAAAACCCCATGCTCTGATTAGTGTTTTTATTTTTTTAATATCTCTTCACTTATAATGCCACACCTCAAAACTTTTAAGTGAGAAATGCAAAAATGATGAAACCATACTTAATAAACTATTAGTACAAGCCCCTTTTGACAGGGTTAATGTAAACAGTCCTCCTATATCTCCGTGTTTGCAAACGACCCCTTATGTCCACTTCTCTCACGATCACATAAAGTAGTGGTGGGCTACAGAACTTACAAATAATTCTACAGCCCTAAGATGCCTTCACTGTGCGTTTTTACTTGCAAAATTAAAGCACTGTCTTTGACAGGTTTTATGGAGATACAAAGGAAACAAACCAGCCACGTTGGGAACCAATACTCGGCTCTATGACTGGATACCCCAGAATGATCTTCTTGGTAAGACTGAGGGGAAGAAAACCTGTACAGTTGGATAATGGGCAAGTAAAGTGGCTGTTTAGCAGCAAATACATTCAATGAATATTTAATAGATAAAATGTCATGTTTTAGGCTAAAATCAAAAACACACAAAACGAAAAATGTTGGTAAAGATGTGAAGAAAAAGGAACTCTCTTGCACTGCTGGTGGGGATGCAAACTGGTGCAGCCACTCTGGAACACAGTATGGAGGTTCCTCAACACGTAAAAAATAGAACTACCCCATGATCCAGTAATCACACTACTGGAGGTTTACCCAAAGAATACAAAAGAACAAATTCAGAGAGATACATGCACCCCTATATTTATAGCAGCATTATTTACAATAGCCAAGATATGAAAGCAGCTTAAGTGCCCATCGATTGATGAATGGATAAAGAAGTGGTATGTGAATACAATGGACTATTGTTCAGTTTTAAAAAGAATGAAACCTTGCCATATGCAATGATATGGATAGAGCGGGGAGTATAGTGCTAAGAGAAATAAGTCAGAGAAAGGTAGATACCATAAGATTTCCTTCACATGAGGAATTTAAGGAACAATAACAACAGAAGAAGAAATGAGCAAAGGAAAAATAAAAAAGAGAGCGAGACAAACCAAGAAAGAGACTCTTAACTATAGGGAACAAACTGCTGGTCCCCAGAGAGGAATTGATTGGACGGGGCAAGGATAAAATAGGTGATGAGGACTAGGGAGTGCACTTGTTGTGATGGGTACTGGGTGGTGTATGGAGGTGCTGAATCACACTATATTGGACACCCCAAACTAATACAACATTGTATGTTAACTACACTGGAATCTAAAACAAAATTTAATAAATAAATAAATAAATAAATAAATAAATAAATAAATCAAGCTAGAAAAAGAAAATCAAATGTCACATTTTACTTGCCGTCTTAAAGCAGAAATAATTCGAGAAGTGGCAGTTCATTTTAGAGAGTCGGTGCTTTCTTCGATTCACAAAAGAGCATCTTCAGTTGAGACTCCCATCACTCTTCAAGTTTCAGTCTCAGTTCAGGTATTTCTTCCTCAGTAGAGTCTTTGCAGACAATGCAGAGGGAACTACTGCCTCCCTTCCTGGGATCATAGTTTTCTGAGATAGCCATAGCCCAGGTGCTCTTGGCTTTTGTAGAAAACTGCTGCTTTCTTCATTGAGTTACCCCTGTAGTCTTTTCCCTCTCTCTCTCCAATTCTGTTAACCCATGACAATGAAATCCTCATCCACTTCTCACCCAATTCCAAACTAGGTCATCCCAAAACAAAAGCTTTTATCACTCATGGTGGAACCAATGGGATCTATGAAGCTATTTATCACGGGGTTCCTATGGTGGGAGTGCCTATGTTTGCTGATCAGCCTGACAACATCGCTCACATGAAGGCCAAAGGAGCAGCTGTGGAGGTGAACATCAACACAATGACCAGTGCAGATCTGCTCCATGCCCTGAGAACAGTCATTAATGAACCTTCGTAAGTACTACGGCTTTAAAGGCCTACCGTGGGTTAGGCTACCCATCACACCTGGAAATATTCAGCGTTTCGTGCCTTGTAACTGATTTACTTTCAAATAACAACCATAACATGACCAATATAAAAACCACTTTATTTTTTTCATTTTCTAAACATTGAAGTGATTTGCTGAAAATGGGGTAAAAGACTAATACTTCAAATATTTTATTAATATTTTTTCAGAATGAATCATTAAATGATGATGTGAGTTCTCACACATATTTTGAACAATATGCTTGTTTGTATAAATACACATACATATGCTTATTTAAATATTATAACCATTAACTAAGTACCAAATTGGAAGTGATAATTCACTCTATCATTCAAAAGTAACCATCATTAACACTTACAATACCATTGATCAATATATGCATATACACAGGGAGGAGAGATACTGAGTAGGTAATAAATATAAATATTGGTTATTACTATGATTATATATATAATCAAATCTTCTTTGATGAAATATGTATATATAATCTCAAGTGAAGGAAAGGAGAAAATGTGAGTGGGAAATGTCAGAAAGGAAGACAGAACATGAGAGACTCCTAACTCTGGGAAACGAATAAGGGGTGGTAGAAAGGGAGGTGGGCGGGGGTGGGGTTGACTGGGTGATGGGCACTGAGGGGGGCACTTGATGGGATGAGCACTGGGTGTTATTCTATATGTTGGCAAATTGAACACCAATAAATAATAAATTAAAAAAATAAAAAAAAATCTCAAGTGAAAAGCTGTATATATATATATATATATATATATATATATATATATATATATATATAGCCTTACTAACATTTCAATCCGATTGAAGGATATTCTTTCTCACCACACACAAAAATGAACATGAGTGAATTATCCTCTCCTACTGCATCTAGCATATCGTGTTCACTGGTGAATAATAACCACATTTCTCCTTCTCCAATCCCAACAATATGTAAATCACACTAGGACATCTCTTCCCAAGTCATTTATCTTCTACCATCTTCACGTCATCTGGTGGAAACTTTTATCTCTAACACAAAACCCAAAGGAAATATACTAATTCTGCCTCATCAATCAAGAAATGGTTGGTGATGATATTACTTGCCTTTCAAATACATACTTCTATCCATTTTTTTTTTTGAGAGAATAGAGTTGTCAACTCCATATAACTATTGCTACTGTCATGCCACATGATTAGGGGCGGTTAATTCTAGTAAGATATTTTTATTTACCTAAAAAACTCAAAGTCCATGTCCTTGCCATTTCCAAAATTATCCCAGTATCTTTACCAACCATGATATTGTCAATATAGACACTGTCCTTTGCATCATAGAGACACAACTGTGTGCACTGGAGGAATTATCACAGTGCCAGGGTCTTAGACACTGCAGAAATTGTTTATTAATGTTGATTATCAGATTGTCTATAATCATGATTATATATAGCCAGATATTAGAGACCATGCTTGTGAACCTACTTATGGGAGTTTCCCCACAATATTGGGTTACTCCCAGTCTTGGTTTTGGAACAACGCTGGAAACTATACTTTACGCAATCTCAAAATTCCTCCTTGGAGAAATTAGGACATACATTTGCGATAAACTTATTCCATTTTTTTATGTTTGCATTTCATCACATTCTGTTAAGAATATATTTCATCTACATATTCCCTTCCTGACTCTTAAGATGCTATGCAACCAACAAAGTTTATGTCTCCGCAAGAATGAATTTTTTTTCTCAGTGTATCTATGGCCTTTGGCTTACATAACCTATAACATGTATCACATGTTACCTGTAATGAAAACAGAAACTCTCTAATTTCTATATTTTTGCCTGCCAGTTATAAAGAGAATGCTACAAGATTATCGAGGATTCACCATGATCAACCTGTAAAGCCCCTGGACCGAGCAGTCTTCTGGATCGAGTTTGTCATGCGCCACAAAGGAGCCAAGCACCTGCGGCCGGCCTCCCATGACCTCACCTGGTTCCAGTACCACTCCTTGGATGTGATTGGGTTTCTGCTGGCCTGTGTGGCAACTGCTATATTCTTGGTCACAAAATGTTGTTTGTTTTCTTGTCGAAAATTTAATAAAGCAGGAAAGAAGAAAAAGAGGGAGTAGATCTTTCTAAGCTGGGAAGAGGCCTTAATGGGCAATTCCGTTCATTCTAATCACCGTGACCTTAATGAAAACACAGTATCTCCATCTCATTTTCAAAATTCCCATTCTTCTACTCTAGCCTAGAGGTAAAGCCTAAAATTCAACATGATCATTAACTAGTGAACATGTCCCAGTATTCCTTTGTCTTTTCCTTTACCCTTTCCTCTCATTTTCCTGGCACAAGGACACTAATAATTTTATTATCCTTTTAGTCAAAATATCATTATTTTTCATTATGCCTAACCTTAAGAGTATGCTGACTGACCACATGCTGAATCCTGAGGAACTCACAAAGTTTCTTTTTCATAAAAATAAGGCCTTCTGCTTGCCCAAATTTGCTGGGGTCAGAGCCTAAATTGATAAGTACTGCAACAGTGCATCATACTAGGGAAGGTCTGCAAATTCCTATTTCATACATAGATAATCACGGCCTTTGTTCCTGCCTATTATCAATAAGTACTCAGGTGTACCTATTTTTGAAACAAGGGTATGGGGACTGCCCTCAAACAAAAGAGAGTAATTGAGTCACTATTTTTCCTCAGGGACAGAGAATGTCAGCAGTATGTTAAAGGTGAATAGGTCATCTATAGAGGAAATTATTAAGAAATATGGAAAAAAATTAGTACTTTTATGAGATGTTTAATTAACAGTACAAGTAATAACATTAACGTTAAATGTCAATTTATTATATTGTAAAATCACTGATGCTCATAGTCTGTAATCAGTCTTTATAATCAAAGATTTAGTTCCCTAGCAAAAACAAATATTTACCTGGAATGTAAGACCATCATATTATTTTTCAGTCTGTATATCTTACAAATTTAAATGTATCAATTAAATATTATGTCAAGGATGTAAGATATTAGCAGACCTGCTTGGCTAAGAGTATGTTTTAGTAAATACTTATGACACAAAACACTAATTAAAATTCATATTTGAATCAGCTTTGCATTAATTTAACAAATAAAGACTGCACTTTCTTTATCCCTTATACACTTAATGACATATTCTAATTAAAGTTTTAATTTCAATAGTTGATGTATAATTGAGGTGATAAATTACAGCTGTTGGCTTATTGAAATTTTTGAAATTCATGTTTATTTCAACATGGCATATTGAAAATTACTTCCAATTTAAAAATAAATGCATGATATGTGGTATATAGGAATATAGGAATATGTGTTTCTTTTGAATATGTACATTCGTGAAAATGCAAATAAATTCTTAAATCTTTTTGTGAAGGCTAAAGATGTATTTCTCAAATGCTAGTATTTTTAAAGGTGGTTAAATGTTGATGTGTTTTGACTTTTACAATTTGATTATGTCCTGAGAAGAGCTCTTTATGTTTGCTTCATGCAGTTTATTCCTATTGGAATATAGCAAGTGGCTTAAGATCCAAGAGAGATGGGGTAGCCACCCAATTCAGGCACCCATTTGGTTTCTGAGACTGGCCACCCACAACATAGAGATTTGTTTCTTCTCAATAGCCACTGTTCACCTGCTTTCTCCTCTCCTGCTGATTACCTGCTGATTTCTTCCTTTGCCTAAATAACATCCAAAGGCAGCAGGCAAAAATTCCTGGGTGATACCACTGCATTAGTTGGTCTAACTGCAGCATATATATATATTTTTAATTTTTTTAAATTTTTTTATGTATTTATGATAGTCACAGAGAGAGAGAAAGAGAGAGAGAGAGGCAGAGACACAGGCAGAGGGAGAAGCAGGCTCCATGCACCAGGAGCCTGACGTGGGATTCAATCCTGGTTCTCCAGGATTGCGCCCTGGGCCAAAGGCAGGCGCCAAACCGCTGCGCCACCCAGGGATCCCTATTTGGATAATAAACAGATAAAAAATAGCACATACATACATATACAGTGAGAATGGACATTCCTTAACAGTCATTCAAAAAACCGCTCAGATGAGGAAACACTCATCCCTAAAGAGCAGAAACCAATTCCCATTAGCTGGAGCACAGACACACAGCTCTTACATTTCAGGCCTTGGAGCTATTCAGGAGGCTGCAGCTAATACTTTTACTTATTTTGTTCATAAACCTTCCCTGTTTCCCTTAAGCCTCAGGGAGCATCTCCTCTGGTTAGGGTTCTTTACCTGATAGGATGATCCAAAACTTCATCCACTCCAAATAAATGTCAGTAGCCTAATTATCTTTGGTATTTTGAATTCATGATCACAGCCAAGAGAGTAACGCCTTCTTTGAACCAATTCTGAAGCAGAGGATCTCAAACTAATCAAGCTCAAAGTAATTCACAGTTAATAATCTAATAAGAATCTGATATCCTGGCTATATTCCTGGGTGGAATCCTTCCTTCCATGATAAATGCAACCTCCAAAGTGCCTGACTCCAAGTGGTAATAATGAAAAACAAACCTGTCTGGGGTAATAGTGAGGCATACTAGTTAGGGGACTCATTCTCCCTTTCAACCCCTTGAGATCTGAACCCATGTTTTCAGACGAAAATACAGAAGGCATATATATGAGGTTATGCTTTGACCCATACACTGCATCCTTTAAGACAGCCTCTAAAATATATACGATATTGTCTCCCAGCTAAAACCCTGAAAAACTCTCATTAGTTAAGGAAGAATTTGGTAAAACTCAGTAAACTCCATGAATATTAGGCTTTGTTGAATTTCCTTAATTGGTTATACACGATGTTGACATCAACACCAAGATATTCATTTAGGGTTCATGTGCATAGTTGGTTATCTGGCAGAAATAATACAGAGAACGGGAGGGGGAAAATCTGTCATTTGGAAATTTTTTTTAATAATTATTTTTTGCTTTATTCTGTTCATACGTGACAGCCCCAAACACAACACGTGGTTTTTCTCTTTTGACTTTACTACTCTGCCACTACCTAGGTCAACAGTCTTCCTCCCAGTAGTATATATGGTTTGATCCTCATCACGTGGGTATAACACAGGTCCTCAGAGATCAGGGCTGTCCAGCACCAGGACCTCTGTCATCCCCTTTGACTGTACTCTCGGTGCTGGGGCTCTGCCCAGGTCCCGTCACCCCTGAGGTGTCCTTAGGCCAGAAACACCAAGCAGGCTACATGTTCTGTGCCAACTCTGAATAAACGTGGGGATTGCTTAGAGCCTAGGGTTGAGGGTAGTGAGGCAGGCTGTGTCTGTGTCGGGGTCCATTACAAAGGGATGCTGTGCTTGATTAACGAAGTCTGCCAGGGGGATACCCTCTAGACATGTCTGGAATGGGGACCCTAGGGGGAGAGGCTGCTCAGACAGGGACAAGGTACGCACTACATCCTTGCATTTGGCGGTTGTTCTGCTTCCCAGGCTGCATTGTCTCACACACCAGGTGGCTGAGGAGGCATTCTGAAGGCCATGAAGGTTTAAGTGGATTCCCTAGGCTCTGGAAGGAAGAGAATAAGCCCCAAGCTAAAGGGTGCTTGGGAGGACAGCTCACGCAGGCCCCGCAGGCCCCGTGGGGTCTGTAAGCTCAGACTGGGCTGGCATTAGCTCCTTATCCTCTGGAGTCCGTTTCATCCAGGTAAAGACAGCTCCTGGATGACTGCCGGGATGAGATGCAACTTGGGCGTAAAGACACTTTTCTGTATGTGACACAGAAATAACCTTAATCTCTAAATAAACCTGTAAAAAATTTCCAGTCCAAACTAAAAAAGTTTACCTTCTATGCTACCAACAAACTGAAATGGAGTAAAAGAACAGTCTTAGTTTAATCAAGTTCCAGCAAGAGGGCATACTGCTTTGGAAAGCATCTGTCTCAGCAGAAAACGCAAGGGTGTGTGTAAAATAATGTTTCTAGAAAATACCAAAGGCACCAAACAGAACCTTGACGTTGCCTTCCAATTCCCCTCCATGCCACTGCATACCCTGGGTGGGGAGGCTACTTCGTCCAGCTGACTTTGGGGATGTCATAGTGCTCCGTAAGGGTGTCCAGGTGTCTGCTGAAGTCCTCCACTCTCTGCTTGTGGGTTTTGGATGCTTTCTTCAGGATTCTTTCCATTTGCTGCTTCTCCTGCATCTTCTCAAAGGCCGCCTGGGACAGGGTTCGCTTGTCCAGCCCATGCTGCTTCTCCTCCTCATTCTTTTTGCTCGTTCCCATCAGTTCCAGGAGTTTCGCCTTGTCTTTGTCCTTCTTTTTCTTCTTCCCCTTGGTCACACCGAGCTCTGCGACGCCTTTTAGTTTCAGGGGCCCCTTCTGAACCTGCTCGTAGGCCGCCTTGATGCCGCTTGGTTTTCCGTAGGTAAACTGCCTGTCATTTGGAAATGATAACGGCTTTTCTGAAGGAAAAATCGTGCATCGCCGACGATGGAAGGTGACCAATGCAATTTTTCTTCTTTGTGGCTAGCTAGAACCCTTGAGAGTTTACCATATTGGGAAGAGGGTGGGCAAGATCTCTGCTACTAACAATCTGGGCATGTAACAGCTGGAGTATCCAAATGAGCCTTGGTGAGGTGAAGTCCATGCTGTGCATCATATTCCACCACAGTCTCCATTATTCCTTGGTGCATGGGCCTTAATATCAAATTCAGAGAGTCTGGAAAAAGACACCAACATTCACAGGGCTGATCATCCTAACCATCTTATCATTTTTAAAAAAGATTTTATTTATTTGAGGGACAGAGAGACCGAGAGAGAGAGAGAGCACAAGCATGGGGAGGGACAGAGCAGAGGGAGGGGGAGAAGCAGGCTCCCTGCTCAGGAAGGCTTGAACACACAAGTCTCATGCTCTACTGACTGAGCCCTCAGGGGGCTCCATCCCAGACCCTGAACATGAGCTGAGCTGAAGGCAGATGCTTAACCGGCTGAACCACTGGAGCATTCCCAAACCACCTTACTATTGAGATAGTTGTCTGTAGAACATGACCTCTGGAGGGAATTTCCACAGAATGGGAGTATCTTCATAATCCATGCAAACACCAAGAGGTTTATTCACATACTTCTACCTGAAACTTTCTTACCTTTAATCTTCCCTCTAACTGGTCCCAAGTCCTTGACAACTCAGTCAATCCATTAGTCTTTGCCTATGAATCTATAGGTCTGTAAAGAAGGTCACCATTTTCCCCACAAAAATGGAGTGATCTGGATCTGTGCTTGATATTCTACCCATTGGGAAGATTTTGCTCCACCACTGCGCTTCAGAGACAGCCTTGAGTGGGGCTGTAACAATGGCTACTTCTTGCTGCTTAAGAATATCATGTGTACTCATACATAAATTGGGATATATGACAATGTTTTCCCTATTTTCAGTTGGGAAGGCCCTTATGAGTCTGAAGGGGAGGATTCACAGATTTATATCCAAACATTGGTAGGTTCCCTGGGAGTCTAAGCTACCCACAGAGACCATTTGCTGGATTTTCTGGTCCTGCTCTGAACTGTTCTCATATATACCCATTTAACTGTAGAATGTTGCTGCTAATGTTCAGTCGTATTTTGGTTGTTACCACAACATAGACCACCACAAGTAGCATAGTCACTTGGTGCCCATGGTCAGTCTCACTCAGAACTCAGTAACAAGCCAGGGACTGTTGTTTCTATGGAGAAGAGATACTGTGAAAATAGGCCATAGTTTTGCTTCAAAAATCCTAGGATTCTCTTTTTGGAGTGTCAGAAATGACAAATAGCAACTTAACATTGCTATTTGCTATAGGCATGGCAGGTACCCTTGGAATTTCTTTTTTTTTCTTTTTCTTTTTTTTTGTAGTGGTTAAAAAACAACACATGACATAAAGAGAGAGCACAGGCAGGGAGAGCAGCAGAGGGAGAGGGAGAAGCAGGGATCCCGACTTGGGGCTTGATCTCAGGATGCTGGGATCATGACACAAGCCAAAGACAGACACCTAAATGACTGAGCCACCCAGGCGCCCCCACAAAATTTTAACTATACAGTCAGTGTTGGTACAACAGATCTCTAGAACTTGTATATCTTCCGTAATTGAAAGGTTATACTTCTTGAACAGCAGCTCCCACTGACCTATCCGTCCAGCTTCTGGCATCTACTGCTCCATCTTCTATTGCAATGAGTTGGATTACTTTAGACACTTCATATAAATCAGATTTAATCACTCAGTTTCCATGCAGATACCAGAGTCACCTAAAAGGTTTCAAACAGGGACATTTTGATTGAAAAAATACTTAGCAAATACCTGGACAGTATGAAGGGAACTATAAGAAAAGATGAGGTTCCCAGACTAACAACAGTACAGGTCATTACTAACCCACTGGGCTAAGATATAAAGGAAAACAGTAACGTTCTCAGAGACTAGTGAGAATAGGAACTGCGGAAGGAGAAACGTAGGCAAGAGATGTAGTAATGGAAGTTCCAAGCAGTTGCCTAAAACTAGGTCCCAAGCCAGGAAGGGAACAGCCAAATATATTTGGTCTCATCTACCACTAACTGAATTCAACCAGAAGCTACGTGGCAGAGGAATTCACATACTGGAGTGCACCGAGGTGAGCCTCCTGAAACCCAAAACTAGAAAAGAAAGTTAAGGATAATAGATCTGGGAAGATAAATGGAGAACAATAAGAGCATTGAGGGCCACCCTTGAGAACGGATCAGAGAAATAGAAGCTAGAAAGTGAGAATAAGAAAGACTAAGTATTAGTAGTAAAACTGGGGACAGGAATAACTTCAGGGAAGAGAAAGAATTAGGGAGACTCCAGGGTTTCCACCTTGTGAGTGTATTTGAACAGAGTCAGCTTTTACAGAAATAGGAAACAACTGGAGGAGCAACTTCTTTGAGATTAATATACTGTGTTCTCTTTTGAATTTATTCGCTTCAAGGAGCCAAATTGACCTTTAGGTGGAGGTTTTGAGAAGTCATTTGGAAAACACAAGGTCTCGAGGGAGGGGCAAGATGGCGGAAGAGCAGGGTCCCCAAATCACCTGTCCCCACCAAATTACCTAGATAACCTTCAAACCATCCTGAAAATCTACGAATTCGGCCTGAGATGTAAAGAGAGACCAGCTGGAACGCTACAGTGAGAAGAGTCCGCGCTTCTATCAAGGTAGGAAGACGGGGAAAGAGAAATAAAGGAACAAAAGGCCTCGGAGGGGGAGGGGCCCCGCGAGGAGCCGGGCTGAGGCCGGGGCGAGTGTCCCCAGGACAGGAGAGCCCCGTCCCGGAGGAGCAGGAGCTGCACCAACCTTCCCGGGCGGGCGCAAAGGGGCTCGCAGGGAGTTGGAGCAGGACCCAGGAGGGCGGGGATGCCCTCGGGCTCCCGGGGACACTAACAGACACCTGCGCCCCAGAGAGTGCGCCGAGCTCCCTAAGGGCTGCAGCGCGCACGGCGGGACCCGGAGCAGCTCGGAGGGGCTCGGGCGGCGGCTCCGCGGAGGGGCCTGCGGGGCGGGAGCGCGAATCCACCAGCGCAGGCCCCGGAGCACAGGGCGCCGGGACACAGCCCAGGATCCGGCCTCCCCCGGGACAGGCAGAGGCCGGGAGGGCCCAGGACAGCGAGGACGCTCCTGCCCCGAGCTGAGCAGATCAGCGGCCCCGCCCCGGAGCCTCCAGGCCCTGCGGACGGAGAACCGAGAGCCCCGAGCCCCGTAGTTCCTGCGGAGGCTGAATCCAGGCTTCCAGAGTTGCCATAGCAACTGCGACTGTTCCTACTGGGGCCCCACCGGGTAAACAACCCCTGCTGAGCCCTGCAGCAGGCAGGGGCAGAGCAGCTCCCCCAAGTGCTAACACCTGAGAATCAGCACAGCAGGCCCCTCCCCCAGAAGACCAGCTGGACGGACCAGTGATACTCCCCCGTGTTCCAATACAACTTGTTTTTGGCCACTCTGCACTGAGCAAAATGACTAGAAGGAAAACCTCACCTCAAAAGAAAGAATCAGAAACAGCCCTCTCTCCCACAGAGTTACAAAATCTGGATTACACTTCAATGTCAGAAAGCCAATTCAGAAGCACTATTCTACAGCTACTGGTGGCTCTAGAAAAAAGCATTAAGGCCTCACGAGACTTCATGACTGCAGAATTTAGATCCAATCAGGCAGAAATTAAAAATCAATTGAATGAGATGCAATCCAAACTAGAAGTCCTAACGACGAGGGTTAACGAGGTGGAAGAACGAGTGAGTGACATAGAAGACAAGTTAATGGCAAAGAGGGAAACTGAGGAAAAAAGAGACAATCAATTAAGGGACCATGAAGACAGATTAAGGGAAATAAATGGCACTCTAAGGAAGAAAAACCTACGTTTAATTGGGGTTCCCGAGGGCGCCGAAAGGGACAGAGGGCCAGAATATGTATTTGAACAAATCCTAGCTGAAAACTTTCCCAATCTGGGAAGGGAAACAGGCATTCAGATCCAGGAAATAGAGAGATCCCCCCCTAAAATCAATAAAAACCGTTCAACACCTCCACATCTAATAGTGAAGCTTGCAAATTCCAAAGATAAAGAGAAGATCCTTAAAGCAGCAAGAGACAAGAAGTCCCTGACTTTCATGGGGAGGAATATTAGGGTAACAGCAGACCTCTCCACAGAGACGTGGCAGGCCAGAAAGGGCTGGCAGGATATATTCAGGGTCCTAAATGAGAAGAACATGCAACCAAGAATACTTTATCCAGCAAGGCTCTCATTCAGAATGGAAGGAGAGATAAAGAGCTTCCAAGACAGGCAGGAACTGAAAGAATATGTGACCTCCAAACCAGCTCTGCAAGAAATTTTAAGGGGGACTCTTAAAATTCCCCTTTAAGAAGAAGTTCAGTGGAACAATCCACAAAAACAAGGACTAAATAGATATCATGATGACACTAAACTCATATCTGTCAATAGTAACTCTGAACGTGAATGGGCTTAATGACCCCGTCAAAAGGCGCAGGGTTTCAGACTGGATAAAAAAGCAGGACCCATCTATTTGCTGTCTACAAGAGACTCATTTTAGACAGAAGGACACCTACAACCTGAAAATAAAAGGTTGGAGAACCATTTACCATTCAAATGGTTCTCAAAATATACCCTAAAAACTATAGAACACTTCTGAAAGAAATTGAGGAAGACACAAAGAGATGGAAAAATATTCCATGCTCATGGATTGGCAGAATTAATATTGTGAAAATGTCAATGTTACCCAGGGCAATTTACACGTATAATGCAATCCCTATCAAAATACCATGGACTTTCTTCAGAGACTTAGAACAAATTATTTTAAGATTTGTGTGGAATCAGAAAAGACCCCAAACAGCCAGGGGAATTTTAAAAAAGAAAACCATATCTGGGGGCATCACAATGCCAGATTTCAGGTTGTACTACAAAGCTGTGTTCATCAAGACAGTGTGGTACTGGCACAAAAACAGACATATAGATCAATGGAACAGAACAGAGAACCCAGAAGTGGACCCTGAACTTTATGGTCAACTAATATACGATAAAGGAGGAAAGACGATCCACTGGAAGAAAGACACTCTCTTCAATAAATGGTGCTGGGAAAATTGGACATCCACATGCAGAAGAATGAAACTGGACCACTCTCTTGCACCATACACAAAGATAAACTCAAAATAGATGAAAGATCTAAATGTGAGACAAGATTCCATCAAAATCCCAGAGGAGAACTCAGGCAACACCCTTTTTGAACTTGGCCACAGTAACCGGAGAAGGACAGTGTATGTTCTCATTCATTTGGGGAATATGAATAATAGTGAAAGGGAATATAAGGGAAGGGAGAAGAAATGTGTGAGAAATATCAGAAAGGGAGACAGAACATAAAGACTTCTAACTCTGGGAAATGAACTAGGGGTGGTGGAGGGGGAGGAGGGCGGGGGGGTGGGGGTGAATGGGTGACGGGCACTGAGGGGTACACTTGACGGGATGAGCACTGGGTGTTATTCTGTATGTGGGTAAATTGAACACCAATAAAAATTAATTTATAAAAAAAAATAAATAAATAAGAATGCTATCAAAAAAAAAAAAAAAAGGAAAACACAAGGTCTCAACCTTAGAAAATAGCAATAGAAACAAACTGAGGGTCAACACATAAAGGAGACTTTATAGAAACGAGAGACCTAAACATCATTTGGTTCTTTGTGAGTATGATGGTAGGTTTTTTTTTCTTTTTTTAAGTAAAAAGAAAGGTGTACAACACATTCTGAGTTTTCAAAAAAAAAAAAAAAAGAAATGTGGAATGTTAGGAATTTTGGAAGGAAACCGTTTTGAGAAAGAAAAGATGGTTATGTTAAATAAGGTAACAATATTATAGTTATTGGTCCCTAATACTAGGGACCATGAGAGGGGCCATCTTTTGCTTGGGTTGTAGCATGTGAGTAAAATCTCTTTGAGAAACTTGCAAGGTAAAATAGTGTTCCCAGGGGGGCTCTTGATTTCTGCTAATGGCAATACGTGTATTGATGCTTGAAATTTTATTTCAAGATTCTGAATATCCTCTTCTTTCCCCCAGTGAAGTTATCATTGCAATACAACCTCGATTGTGAGTTGCTGTTGCAGGAGTAATGAATCAATGTTTAT